ACATGAATCCCTTGTAAACTCTACAATACACAAATTAATTTCCATGATAAAATTACCTACCAAAATTTTTTAAGTGGATCAAAACCGGTGTCTAGACTTTTCTGAATACTATTATGAGTGAAGGGAAAATACCATTAAACATTAAAAAATATTATTTCAGAAATCATAAGAAGCGATTTGTTAAATGTTGATTAAAAAGTTAAAATTGAAGAAATAATTGCAAAACGAGTATTAATAAAAAAATAAGTGAAATGATTTATTTATTAAATTTGTTGTGGCTTGAATTAGTTAAATTTGTGTTAGTTGGATGACTCGATTACTCTCATCTATCATGGTCATCACCTTATAATTCAGATGATCAACATGAACAAATTCAGACGACTTCAAATTTAGTGGAGGTAGCATTGTTGAAAAAATAATTAGGCATTGCTAGGAATATTAAATTTTCTATCAAAATATATCAAATGTTTCACATGGGTGTAGGGCTCGTAATTTTGTGAATCCCACACCCATGTGAGACATTTAATCATTTGTTTGGTAGAAAATTTGAGACCTATAGCTTTTTCCAAAATAATTACATAATACAGAAAAATTTTAAAAAATAATTAGAAAGCAATGAATCAATTTACATATTTACCCTTAGTCCATGTTTGTTTCACAGATGGTTGTGGGTTCATCCACATCATGTTTGATAGTGAAATAGGAAGATAGATTGATAGTCTAAGGGACTTAGTAAACCCTCTCAATAGGGAGATTAGCTTGGTTAGATTTTGAATGAGATTAGAAAAATAATAAAAAGATTGAATCTATTTTATATAAAAATTTTATTTTTTTTACTAAGGCACTTTTATATTTTAATATTTTTAATATAAAAATATTTATATTTATTTTAGATAAAAATAATTTAACAAACTCCTAAGTAATTATTTACTATACTATCGTCAAAACAAGACACTTCTATTTAATTTTCTTCCTAATAATTCTTACATTATTAATCTCCTAATAATTCTTACATTATTAATCTCTTTACTGACCATGGTCTCGGTACTAAATTCACCAAACATGGCCTTAATTCTGTCCATCTGCCCTCTCTCTTCCTCTTTCAACCCCACCCTCTGTAACCGGCGGCCACCCCTACCAGATTCCTCCGGCCACCGCTCCGCCAGTCCTCGCCCTTCCCACCAATTCCCCTCCGCCACTGCCGCCAACCCTTTTCCCATCCACCCCCAACCTTTGCAAAGCCGGATCTGGAACCAGAACTCATCGCGCGATCGTGAGATCGATACACCACGATCTCATGCCAGCGATCTCTCTCTCATCGTGATCTTTCCTCTGTCATCGCGCAGTCCCACGGTGGCGGCGGTGGAGGAGGCAGGGGGTTAGGGTTTGCGGAGGGATGGTGGCGGTGGCAATTGGATCTAGCAAGTTATATAACATTTATTATTAGGTAACATACCTGCATATCTTGACTAATTATCCAATTCTTAGCCTGAGTTAACATTTTTTTCTTATTCTATTAGCTTGTTCAAGACTGTTTAGTACAACTTTGGCGTACAGCGTATTAGGCAAAAATAACTTAAATAAGCTTAAACAAAAAAAAAAAACCTGATCATTTGAAAGCTGAGATGAGAGTCGTGCTTTTAACTTCTGTTTTTAGATTATCAACTTTTAGCATTATAAGCTGCACCAAAAACACAAGTGCTTTTGGATTATCTGAAAGCGTTCCTCTGTTTTTGGATTATCAAATGGTTGGGTGGTGTTTTGTTAGTTGCTTTGCATTATTTACTTGCATAATAAAGTGAGCGAGCTCTTGGTATTTTACATGCCAAGAAGTACGCACTAATATCAGTATTTTCTTTTTCCCATGAATCATGTTCTGTTGTAGTTTCTGGAGGAGCTTACTCAACTGATGAGCTACTGAGCATCTCCAATGGTAGTAGTAGGCATTTTACCTATCTAAATGTTATTATAAAATATACATTTTATTGTGCCTGTCAACTGTTTTATGTTTTTATTCCAACCATGCTCTTTATTTTAACTTTTCATTAACTTTATAGAATGCCACATCAACAACAAAGATGGAGGGAAATAATCTTAATGATTAAATACATTTTGCCTAGCCTTGAAGGTTAGTTATATGTAGCTAGTGAATGTGAGCTGAGCCAAAATGCCTAAGCATATGCCTAGTGCATTGGAGTTGAAAAAAGTGAGTCACATTAGGAGCATTTTGAATAACAAGCATTGTATGCTAGTGGGTTGGAGTTGCTCAAAGCATGGTGCATAATTTTGTTGAGTAAGAGGTAAAAAAGGAGGGTGAGAAAATTGTACGATTATGAAAATACAAGTAAGCAATAATCTAGAACAACCAAGTTGACCCACTCTGCAAATGGATACAACCTAATAGAACTTAAACTTGTTGTACACGACTAAGTTATGGGTTGTCTACTCCTAATACAGGAACACAATTTTTGTCATATTATTACTGATTTCCTTGTAACTGATATTCTACCTTTTGTTATTGGAGTTGATTGTTACTGATTTCCCATAGCTTACATTCTGCTTTTGGCTGTTGGAGGTTACTAGTTCTGAGTGAATCATGCGAGCATCTCTTT